CAGTTATATTAACCTGTAAATCACAGCAATGAAGTCTAGAAATTCTTCCCTGATTTGGCATTGCTTGTCTACAAATCGTATGGCTAGGGAGAGCTGCTCCAGGTTGCTGCAATCAGTTACCTCGTCCGCCAAAATTGAAAATTGAAAAGAATTTAGCTTCCTTGATATCATTCAATACGGACACAATCCCATAAAACAGATATTAGCTCATTTTGGATATGTTTAGACGTGTATCTTGCATTTTTTGGTGCATTCTTGCAGTTGCCATAATCCATCCAGTGTGGGCACGGGCATATTACCAAATTAATGCCTACTTTTAATAGCATTAACAAGTTCCTGTTTGCGCGTGCGCATTGCGCGTAGTACGTCCTTTTGGGGGTGTGTGTGTATAGCGTCGCTGTGGCTCGCGTGCACAAAGGCGCCGCCGCTGCTTGCGCGGCGGATGCGTATATTTTATACATGTGTGGGTAGAGGAGGGGGTGTGTGCGCCCGGCCCGGCAAAAAGGGTGGTTCGTTCGAACCCAACGAACAAGCCTAGATCCGCCACTGAAAGGTCGATCTAATTTGAGCTCATCACAGTGCACCACATGGACTTTTGAGTCAAGTCAGTGCAGGCTCTGTCTGAAAGGTACGTTTGCTAATGTTTCTAGCATGCTTTACCTCGGATAGCATGGAATATAAACTAACTCTTGTGCAGCAAAACACTCAAAAGAGGTTTCATTTACGTGTAGGCCATGACAGCATCACTGGAAGTAAAAAAAAAGCAATGTCTTCCAAAGAGCATGGAAGAAGCTTGCAAGTCAGTCAAGAGTGAGAGTATGACCCTGCGCGAAGCTGCGAGAGCATACAACGCCCCTGTTGAGACTTTGAGAAGACGTGTTGCCAGCATTGTGAGCTTTGGTTGTAGACCTGGTCCTCCAACAGTTCTAACGAGTGAAGAGGAAGTTCGTTTGGCTGTACACTGTGTTGCTATGGCTGACATGGGCTTTGGCTTGACACGAGAAGGGGTAATGGCCATGGCATTTGCGAAAACTGGACGAAGCCACCCCTTTAAGAGTTGTCATGCTGGAAGAGGCTGGTATGAAAGTTTTATGGCTCGCCAAGCTATACTTACTCTTCGCACAACCCAGTCTTTGTCATACGCCCGTGCAGTTTGTGCAATCGATGATTTCTTTGCCAAGGTTGGAGCAATTTTAGGGCGGCTGAACCTAATTGCTAAGCCAAGTCAAATCTTCAAACGGGGGTTACTAAGCCATCCAAGGTCGTTGCTCATGTTAGTCGACATAATGTTCCATCTTTAACTTCGGCAGATAAAGGGAAAACGCATACCGTTCTTGCTTGTGTTTCTGCTAGTGGTAAAGTACTCCCTCCATTTATGGTTAATCCAAGAAAGCGGCTGTCCCAGAAAAAATGAAAGAGGGGGCCTATCCTAATAAAGTAAGCAACAATGGTTGGATTACGAAAGAATTATTCTTTGAGTGGTTCAAGCTATTTGTTCAGATGATTCCCCATCTAAGACCCGTGCTGCCAGTATTGGACGGACATGGCTCACATATTACTATCGATGTGATCGAATATGCAAGATCGAATGAAATACATCTACTATGTCTGCCATCACATACGTCGCACAATTTACAGCCTTTAGATGTGGGTGTGTTTAAATCTTTCAAATCAAGGTATGTTGTCCGTATGTGGCCAAAAACACAGGACGATTCGTAACTGAAGATATTTTGGCCGCTTTAGTTAGTGACGCATTCGCACAGTCGCACACACCACTATATAGTCTTGGTGGCTTCAAAAAAGCTGGACCCTTTTAAACCAGGGGAGGTGAGCAATTGACAAATTGATCCTTTGAAGGCACTTACAAAACCAATCCCTCAAGTTCTTCCGACATTCTCTCCAGAACATATCGCACAATTTGAGGTACGGTATGCAGAGGGTTACGATGTGCAGGACACTACCTACCTCGCGTGGAGAAGTACATACCACCCTAGTCCCGAAAGTGTATCAAGTCAGCAAATTCAATATCCCCTAGCATCACTTCTTCGGTTTCAGTGTCTGCTAGTGCGATAACTACTCCATCTCCCAAATCGCTACCGAGTTCAGAAGAGGTTCTTAATGATTTGCTGGTACTACCTCAACATCTGCCAGCTACAACAGGTCGAAGAAAAAAAGCAATCAATGACAAAGCTAAAGAAATCACTGATGCCGCGGTTCTGCAAGAATTGAAAGAGAAAGAACAGACTGCTGCTGATGCTAAGAAAATGAAGAAAGAAATAAAGATGGAAAGAGAACGAAAGGCAAGAGAGAGGCAAGAAGAAAAGGAGAGAAAGAAGCTGGAACGAGAAAAAAGAAAAAGAAAGGAAAACAAAAGAAAAATCAAAGAAAGCTAAGAAGCAGAGAAGAGCTACTAAACGTGCACCAAGCCCAGCGGACACTCTTGGACTGGAATCTTTATTGGAAACTTTATTGGTTAAATTAGATGTTGAAGATAATGGACAATGTTCCAGTTGTGCAGTGGTAATCAGTGAAGAAGAAGACCGATTTTGGGTTTGTTGTGATAGATGCGACAAGTGTGTATTGCTTTGCATGCCACAAGTTGCCGACTAAAGACAGTGTTCCTGATGAGCACTATTGCATGAAATGCACGTAAAAACTAGCAGAACTGTTCCTTTATACATGTATAATGTTGGTGCCTCATAACTAATGCACTGTCCCATGTGTTGAAATTGGTAACGTGTAATTTTGCAGTGGTATAGCCATAACCATTAATCCAATGGAAGATTTAATCATATGCCCAGAAGTACGTACAAAGTAGTAATGGACCTGTGTGCAAAAAGAGCTAGAAAGATCAAGCAGTTTCGAAGCTGTGGATTAAAGCAGCTGTCTTATAATAGCCCCACCTACTCTAAAGTAGGGCAAACTGTTTTGTTTCGCTTGCTGTGAGGAGCTGTCTCTAAAGAGAAGGAGGTGGAGCAAATGGGAATGTCAGGAGCAAATCGTGCAACAGTGGTGGGTACGATCTGAAGAAAAGCTTCCGCACTGGGCTTCAGCATGTAGACAAATACTTCTGTGTTAACTATCTTCCACAGCCATTGAAAGAGTGTTCAGTACTCTAAGTAACTCTTTCTCTAATAATGAGAGTAGGGCTCTAGAGGACTATATCGAACTCTCATTGAAGTTACAGCATAACAATAGAGGTCACTGATTGTATATGATATGTTCATGAACTTGAGTCATTATACCAGCATTATCCTCTTTACGCGGATGTCATTATGCTCAAAATTATGCTAGCATAATTCGCCAATGCCTACTAGACAGGCTGGAGGAGGAGGGAATATTACAGAAGATGGATTATGCCTCTTTGTCAGCACTGATAATCACCATGCCCAAGAAAGACGGCGGGATACGGATCTGCAGAGACTATAAGATGGCCATAAACCTGTACTTGGTAGTGGACCAGTATCCCTTACCCAGACCAGCTCATGACATGCCTGACAGGCGGGAAGCAATTTACGAAGCTTGACTTGCGCTTTGCGTACCAACAGATGCCTATAGATAATCAATCGGTCTGCTGACAATCAATACGCACAAGTGTTTTACTAGTACACAAAATGCCGTTTGGAGTGAGCTATTTTAAGCTAGACATGGACTTCATATTGCAATTCCCGAGTGTTATTTGTATCTTAATGATTACTGATAACAGGTCGTTCCGAGGAGGAGCACTTGCAGAACTTGGAGACGGTGTTGGGAAAGAAGGTGCAGGCGGTTGCAGACGGCCCAACACCTAAGAATGTTCATGATCTTTGTTCAACACTGGGTACGATCAACTATTATAGAAAATTCATACCGAACCTCTCAGCCACTCTACATCCACTCCATGCCCTGCTGCGAGAAAACTAGCCATTGTGCTGGTCTAGAGAGTGTGAGACAGCCTTCCAGACCTCCAAGAAATACCTCACCAAGGCCCCTGTCTTTGCTTACTACGATCCACACAAGCCGATGGTCCTAGCAGCTGACGCATTAGTACGTACGGACAAGGCAGTGGCTACTTTCCTCTTACATTATCGCACCACTCCTCATTCGACTACAGAAGTGTCCCCCTGCAGTCTCTTTATGAAGGAGGAACTGCACACACACCTGGACCTTTTATCACCTAGTGTCGGAGAGAGAGTGCAGGACAAGCAGCAAAAACAGAGGGAACATCGGAACAGACACGCAGTGCCTCCGAGAAATTGAAGGCTGTGTGGGCCCGGGGGTCACCGACTGGGTAAGGCCAGTGGTATTGTCTGGGGCCAGTCTCGTACATCATCCGGGTCGATAACGGCATCCTCTGCGGAAGACATGTGTACAACTTTCATAGAAAGGGCTTCTGCAACTGATATGCAGAGCAGGAGATACGACAGGACGTCCAGAGGTCAGTGCAGAAAGGCAGGATGTACAAGAGGTTTTAGAAACAGACCTCACTGTAGATGCCCCTGAGCACCAGAGGAAAACACTATTCTTGTGCTACAGTCTGGTATAGATTTTGAGGCACTCAGAGAGGGCAACCGAAATGTCCAATGTTCAACGCACGTGAGTAGCGATTGGACCGCGAGCGCCCAGCAGGCTCTGGAGATGAGACGATGCAGCTTGAAACTCGGCATATCAAAACCCCATGCATAGGATTACAAGAAAACTGCAGTTCTTTGTCTAACATCGCCCAATTCCAGGTGAAGAGCAGTATAAACTCACCAGAATTAGGGCCAGGATTAATTACGCCAAAGTACATATCTCTCTATGCTCAGAACGACCACATCAGGGGTGTGCTTTACACTGGTGTGATTATAGCAATTGAGTCAGGGCGCTTATGAAGAGGAAAATTTACAAAAGCAACCAATGTAAGTGTTACGTGTTTAGCCAATATCCAATGTACTATTGCATAACGTGATCCCTGTCTAGTCCTTTTTATTTCCTTACACAACCCCTATTTGTAAAAGTAAGGTAGTCTACCTTAATACCTTGTGTGTTGAGGTGTACTGCCACAACATCCTCCAATAATATTTACAAGACCATCAGCTGCAAACGACTACAGAACATACGAAAGTGTAAACCATCAGTGCAATATGGACGAGCATGTAATTAGCATACAGTAATAGCAGGAACATTGACAAGTAATACTACAGGCAAGTGCAGAAGGAAAAAAGTGGGCCAGACAATGCCAGCAGTATAGTAGCACACTGAGCCAGTTTCTTCCTCCAAAGCATGCTAGCTGAATCAGTAAATAGGGCAACACCTGATCCATAAGTAGCTTATGGTATACTGAACGGACACAACCTCTTGTTGAGGTGGGCCAGTATTAAGTTTTCCAGTATTACTTGCACATAAGGCCATAACTGTCGATCACAGTAATTTCTTATTTGAACTGATGCCCAAGGTCTTGGTATCGCTCATTTTTCACATCACAGCAAAAAACTAAAACTGATATGGTTTTTTCAACAAAGCGGTTTAATTTTACATTCACCTGCCACAGAGTAGGTGAGTTTGTTACAAACAATAACTCGAGAAGTGAAATGTTACTAACACACACATACGCCAAGTACCATAACTCTCGTGCTGTGCATGCAGGTTAATATTGTACTGGACTGTAATACACAAAAGTATGGTGGAATAGTCTGTATAGATCAGAGCCGACATCACTTTCTCCTTTTCTCAGGGGGTAGGGCAAGATGCTCAGTACTGCCACACGCATTGCAGCGCAAAATCGTCGATGGCGTTGAGTTTTCTTGTTAAAACGATTAGCTAACTTGTACCGCTATAGCACACACCCACCGAGGTCTAGTCGTGTACGCAGAGCACTAACAGCTGTCTTGTAGAAGGATCTCTTTTTCATCTCCAGCAGATTCTATTCCAGTAACAAATGTGCTATGACTTGCAAACTGCAGGAAGAGCTCGCCGTCAGTGTAAAAATTCAACAATGTTGAAAGTTCAGGGGTAACAAATCATAAAAGCTAAGGGCTTCTCTTCATTGAAGGGTCCACAGATGGTGTTTAGCAACATCTCACAGCACTACATACAGCTATGGTAATGCTGCCTACTGAAAATCTGTTGTCAGGGGCCGCTACCACGCTACCAGATTGCACAGAAAGGCAAAAATACTTGCGTCTATTCCTCCAAGGCTACCGTGTGGGGCTTCTTTTCTTCTTCATCATAATCTTAACTGGCCCACTAGAGCCTCATTGTCTCCTCCTCTTCCTCCATGTGGTACGTAACTAAAAAGCCCATATTCATATTCCGTGGCAGATACCCCTGCTGGCCCAACCTCTCTGGAGTTGACAAAGATCCCATCTTCATCCTGCAGAGCTGGGTACTTCTCACCTCGCTCAGTGCTTGTCACTAAGACTTGTGCACTTTTGGACTCCTTCCCATAGCTATAAGCTTCCCGCTGTGGCAGTTCGTCCACAAGCATGCTGGTTGGTAGCTACGTAACAGGAGTGCTGCAACACCCATTGACTATGAACATGCGTGAGTTTGAGTTCGTAACTAACACTCTGGACTCTAACATGACACTTCTCCCGTGCTCCTTCCTTGGTTTACTCATTCTAGAATGTCAAAAGAAGCGTGATTGATCTAGGTCTTGGTGAGAGAATCAACGGCAACGAGACTGTTATTAAGTCTGACATTTTTGAGGACGATTTGTTACTTCACATGCAGTTACGACAGAGTAAGATAATGTGCATGCATTGCATGATAGTATGTGTCTCTATCATAGAGCAATGTCACACATCTGTGTATGAAAGCAGTGAAGGTGAGGTAGCACTTCAGCAAAAAGTGACAGTAAAGGTATGAATAAGTATGTTCAACAAAACCTAGTAAACAACAAGCCGTATATTTACTTTGCTCAGCTTCTTCAGATCTAGGCTGTGTAGTCAGCTTACAGGAGGAAGTCATCAGTTCAACTGTATTTTTTTGTTACTGACCGGCACTGTGGGCACTGTGTGTGCTGCACACACATAAACCATTATGAGTGTTAAAATTCTAGGAGGATCTTGCTGCTAGCAGTTGTTGTATAGCTGCATTTTGGCTAAGAACAGTCATTGATGCCGAGATGCCCCAAACAGAGCAGAGCAAAGCTCTATTATCACAATAAGCGAGATTGCACTGCCATTCAGTAATTGAAGCTACCACAGTAATACTAAGAGCCCACAGGAAGCAGGGTCTTTCTTAAAAAGGCGAGGTCTGAGTGGGAAACACGACGCTCTGCTCAAGACCAGGCAGGGCATGCAGCACAAAGACGAGCATGCGGCTACAAAAGAGAGAGGCGCCCTTCCTCAAAATGAAAAATAGTCAACAAAAGCAATTGGAACCTGAAGAGAGAGGTCCTTCTACATCAAGATCAACATTCAAACTAGTCTGAACTAGGTTTGAGTTCAGTATGTTACAACCAGTTTTTGAACGTTGTAGAAAAGGTTAGAAATACACTCCCGGTGGATACTTGTCTGAGGCTGATGATTCATTCACCAAACCAAGTGGATCTGGTCACCCTAATACAGACGAGAATAAAGTGCGAAGGCCATACCCAACTGCAATAATTAATTATGTTGTTGACTTAATTACAGCATTCAGCAGCTTTAACCCAACTGTACTTTCAGAAAATCAATCAAAACCGAGACCACTTGGTGCTTCTCCTAAAACCTAATCCACAAATATACACAAAGGTAAGGGCAAAACCAAATGGTCGTTGACTTATATACAAGAGCATGAAGTTTCTATAATACCCCTTGCACTAAATGTGCATAATGTTGAGTTTCTGCTCCCATATAACTGCACCTACAATTACAAGTGTATGAAGCTATGATGTTGTCTTCTTCTGAATAAGACTCGAGATCCAAAGTTCAAAAACAAGTAGAAAAACGGAACTGTACTTTATGTAATGAGCCTAAAAGCATTTTAGACAAACAAATGAGAGTCATTTGGGGCAGGCGAAATTTGAGTTTCATTTTGTCTATTTAGAGTTTGTGGAATGGGCAACAGTGCTGCCATCATCAGCATACATATATATGATGGGGACCGATTAAAAACCAGAAGCCCATTTTAAAGCCGTCCAGATGGTTTTAAAACGGGCCAGCCGGTTTTAAAGCCGTCCAGACCAGTTTAGAAGCCGTCCAGACGGCTTTAAAACCGCCCAGCTCGATTGAAGGCCGTCAGCCTATCTACCAGTCGCTACTGTCCAGCCCTGATTTTGCGATCTACCTCAGCAGTCGGCCACGAACTATGACACTCGTCTCGCCCAGGGTGGCCATGCCCGTCCTCGTTTTCTCTGCCGCCGCTGGGGGCAGTAGACGACAGCACTCGCAAGGCCGCTGGCTGGAACAACAGCTTCAGGCACGGTAGGACACTGCGCATGCACGGCCATTGGCTGGAGGAACAGCCGTTGCGCGGTAATGAACGACATGGTCATCCTGAGCATCTGCTTAAAAACGGTCTGGCTTACCGGCGGGGCGGCTTGCAAACAATCGGGCCGGAATTAAAGCCGTCTGGCCCGTTTTAAAGCGGTCCGGCCCCTTTTATAGCCGTCGGACGGCTTTAAAACCGGCCGGGTTTTTAATTGGTCCCCAACATATATGTTAGGTGCAAAGTTCGGATTTGGACAATCCTAGGATTGCGTTGCGCAAAGCTCGGATCCTAGCTTTGCACAGAAATCCTAGGATACGCCGACGAACCAAGGATGGTACTGCACAGACCAAGAATGTAGTTAAGCCATATAAAAAGGGCTGTTATGCACTTCTCAAAGTTTCACAGTAGCCCCGCAGCAGCACTAGGATCGCAGCTTGGCTTTTCACGCTGTTTGCGCAGCTTCGCGGACACGCCAGCGTAGGAAATAGCCCTGCCTCTGTTGAAGCGCCACCCTAGCTTTGTGCAGGGCAAACCTCGAATGGTAGTATACCTTGTACCCTTGTACAACGCAGACATAAGATGTAGCTGCACGAGAGAAGATTGCCTCGCAAAGGCCCCACCTGTTGCACATGCGCGTTGAAGTTGTAATTGCTGCTAGACGTTTATGTAGTCGTCTCTTCGCTCTGCTTTCGAAATACACCCACACATCAAGCTGTGACTAAATTATAGACATACGCGCAACAATATGTCGATTGTTGTAATTGGTAGCAAAAATTTTTTTGGAATGCAACGCCCAATTAGGAGTTAGAAGCTTAGCAGCCCCGAACTGGGAAGCAACATTCTGCGGAGATCTGGCCTCTAGAATAAAAAAAGTTCCGTGTTTGGAAGTGTTAATGGTGCTCTTGTGTTTTAGTGAAGTACATATACTACATAACAAACACGTTGGGAGTCATTGGTTATGGATTGACTAGAAGGTTGTACTGGAATGCATACTTTTAGATGTGAAGCCATAAGTTCGGGGGTTTCATCATAGCCCCCGAGAGCATTAGGCAGGCCTGTAATGAAAAACACAACAAACGACAAGTCATTAAACAACATCTTCTGGGTAACGTACCAGCATTTGGGTAGCATATAACATATGCATTGGACACCCTACCAATTGTTTCAATGTAAGGTCTCATTTCCATTGCCCCAAGAGCACAGTTTAATCCAATACTGCAATAATATCAAATTCGCATACACAAACACGACACTTAAACTAAGATTGCACACACATGACAGTTACACATACCACATGGGTTTTGCATGCGATACACTAATTGCAAACGCTTCAGTTGTTTGACCGGAGAGTGTTCTACCACTTTTGTCTACAACCGTTCCGGAGATCTGTAAGAGATAGAAATCTCTGATAAAGTAAGGAATACAAATAAATAAAAATGGCTGTGAAATTAAAAAAGAGGCATATAGGGTATAAAACAAAGGAAAGGGAGACAAGATAGGGATCGGATACATAAGGCATGGTTAACAAACAGATTTGAGCATGCTGACACCCGTGACCCCATCACACAATCCCTATATTGTTGCCAGGTGTGCCAGTCAATTCTCTATTGTTGGTGTTGGTACAAGCTTCCAAATGGCTAATACTTACATAGGCAACAATTTTGTGTGATGGGGTGATGGGTGTCAGCATCATCAAATACGTATGTTCCTTAACCATGCTTCATGTATCCCATCCCTATCTTGTCTCCCTTTCAATCCCTATATGCCTCTTTTTAATATACTTGTCTCCACTCCTTTTTCTAATATACTACCACATATATCTTTGCAAACGGGGGCCCCCTACAAATATTTAATAACAGTAAAAGGACCTGTTGTTCTTTACAAACATTGATCGCCATGGAAATGACGTAATACATAAGTGTAACAAGATTCGTCTCCATGGATATGTCAGTTAACAAGTTTGAGGAGTGAAGAATAATTTTAAAGAAAGGTTCTGAGGCCATTTGTTTTTTCAACAATATCTGGCCATCATCGACAAAAGGTAACATCTCCATGCATGCTAGTTTGAGGAGTGAAGAAGTAATATTAGAGAAAAGTGCCTGAGGCTTTTTGTTGTACGTAATATGCATGTGTACCAATATTTATCTCCATGTGTGCTACTGTTACCTGTTACCAAGTTTGAGGAATGGAGAAAAGAAAAGTATCTAAGGCTCCTTGTTGTTGTTACAAACAGGTATTGCTGTGATTTTGATGTTGGTGATTGAATATTATGTATACAAAGTTTTGTTCACATAGCTCTTAACATTTGTGAATTACACTGACACATAAGCGCCTTTATAATGTATTTCCTGGGGCTCTTTGGTGTTTTTCTTTACAGTAAACAACATTGAATAAGTATGACGTTGCACATCCTGTGATGGGTATCTAGATTCATGCAAAATAATATTATATCTATTTTTTAAAAGTTATGTGTCTAATCTGAAGGAGGAAGAAGAAGAAGAGGAAAAAGAGAGATCGAAGAGAAAGAGAGAAGAGAGAGAAGAGGAAGAAGAGAAAGAAGAGAAAGAAGAGGAGGAAAAAGAAGAGGAAGAAGAGGAAGAGGAAAACTGCCTATCATAGCCCTATACATGCCCATCCCTATAATATACTAATTACTACCTTACTTAGACAAAATAATCTGTACAAAATAGAGCGAGGAGAGAAAAAGGATGAACGTACACCCCACGAATAAACACTCATTACAGGCTCTGTAAGCTTTACACACTACGCTAAAATCAAGCTCTGCACATACAGGTACAAAAGGGGGATCATAGTTCAGAAAGTAAGAAAAACAACACGGACAGTTGTACAGACAGTTTCCGGCTGACGAGAAACTAGGTTTCCCAATGCGCTTAAGGAAAAGTTTCTTGCAGTCTCATAACAAGCACCCAAACAATGAAAGACGCAAACTACATAACTCCTCCTTCAAGGAAAGTCACCTCCGCTGTGTTTGGAGAGCAAACACCCCGGGGTTTTTGCCTCATGCATAATTTATGCAACAAAGTTTATTGGCAATTGCTTCAAAATTTCTCTTCAAATATTTCTCTGTCCACTTAACGTTAGCCTAACAAATCACTCCAAAGCGACCAGATCCTTGTGGGTGTGGTCTAGAAACAAGACTAGGGCTGACTTATATATTGGTTGGGCATGCAATGCTACCCAGTCTAATTCCCTAAATCAGTGTTTAGCCTTAAACATGAAGTCCGCATACAAAAGATTAAACACCGGTGTGGGCATGTGTAATTTTTTAGTTTGCCTGACAAACACAAATGAACAAAATAGTGAACAACAATAAAAACCGCTCAGTACTGGCTTGTAGTACATGGGCATAGAGAAACATTGACCTTTGACCGACAACGTGGGATAATTGGCCCTTGACCGACCACGTGGGACAGAACATTGTGAGAGACTATATAATTATTACAGTGCGGATACAGTGTTGTGTCAGTGGACCTCCCCATGACGCTGCTCAGTATTCGCATGGCTCTCAAGCATGATCTACAATGCAGTGTTGCAGAGTTGGTTTACGGTTCTACTCTCTGTTTGCATTGGGAATTTTTCCAACAGTCCCCTCCAGTTGACGACCCCGCATCTCTGTTTGGGCGTCTCAAGAATGCCATGCTCCAGTTCCGTGCTACCCCTGTTCGTCGCAAGGTCCACACTGATAATGAGCTGTCCTCGTGCACACACGTATTTGTTAGAAAAGATTCAGTCCGCAAGCCCCTTCAGCCGCCATATGATGGTCCTTACCGTGTACTGTCTCGAGAACACAAGTACTTTCAGCTTGATCTCAACGGACGGCAGGACACAGGGTCAGTTGATCGTCTCAAAGTGGCACATTTGGACGCAGCATCAGAAGAGACAACCCCTCCTCCTTCTGTATCTTCACCTAGACCCTCCACCTCTCCAGCATCACCACCACCCACTTTACCACCGCCTACGAGGACCACTCGTTCTCGCCGTCGAGTTCACTTCAGACCGTTTGGCTACTTTCATTCGCTAGCACACGGGGGGGGGGGATGTAGTACACGGGCAATTAGAGAACATTGACCTTTGACCGACCACGTGGGACAGAACATTCTAGAACATTCTGAGAGACTATATACTAGAGTGTGTATATGTGTTGTGTCAGTTGGTGTATTGAGATTCATTGACGATAGGCTATTCTAACACTCTCTGTGAAATAAATCATGACAAGACTAACTGAGACACTGCTATGCTTCATGACATGAGTGAGAAAATGCAACCTGCTTGTGTTGCTCGGGAGTCGTCCACCGTGCAGAGAGCCACGTTCAGTCCCCCAAAAAGCAGCTGCAAGCATTCTCGCCACAGTAGATCTTTGCTGGTAGCTCTGGTGTTGGGGTCTTCTGAGAGTTTAGTTGCCTCCCGTGACATGGTAAGCCATCGCTAAGAGGAGCTGCGTGTCTAGAAACTGCCTGCAGCCGATGGAACTGGCAACTTTGGGCTTAACTTTGGTCTATACACTGCTTGCATTCGTCCATGAAAAGTAGTGGGTTTTAGTGAGTATATGCAGCACAGGCCGTAGGTCTGCGAGAGGTCCGTTCCTGTTGGTTACTTGAGCTCTAAAAGCCACTGCTTGCTCGCAAAGCCTAGACTCGCTCTTTTATGCTCTTGTAAGGGCATGTTCAGTTATGGACAGCGTCTAGCCTGACCGTCTTGCTTACAGTCAAACCGTCAAAAATCGTAGGATTCCTACCAAGACAAAGACTGCAAGACTGCATGCGCACCAAGGGTCAATATATTGTCAATCTCAGGCAGAACAGCTCACCAGCATGAAACATGCAATGACATTCACAGAGGCTGTTTCTATTGGTGAAGTTAACATACATGCCTTGAAAAATGCTGAGGTTTTGCACACACACTGCTAAAGAGTAAGCATTGTCATGTAAACCCATCAGTACTAGAAAAAGTAGCAGCCTTAATTTTTAAATACAGTGCACAAGTTAGCTCTGATGCCATAAAACGTCCCGTTTAATTTAAAAGACCACATGCGTGCAGTGCATTCTGGCAATATACCTGCTGAACCCTCCAAAGGTGTGCTTTTCGTAGCAACTATATCTAGATTAGGTCGAGGGCTGTATGTTGTAATATGCGGTGGAATGTAAGCACTAACAAGAGCGAGTTTGAAAGCAATGTGTACTGCTTTTGATTTATAATGAAATCCTGCAACAGTGCTTACTGAAGTTGCATGCCTATGGGGGGGTATTCGTATCAGTATTTCAAAAGTCGATTTTGCCAAGGCATTTCTGTTTTGCCGCAGCAATTGCCCAGGCAAAACCTGGGGCGAAAAATCCGGGACATTTGCCGTGGCAAGAATAACTAGCTGGGCCATGTTCAATCGTGTCAGTATTCTTGTCTTTGCCGGCCTTTGCCGCGGCAAAAGTGCTCTTGCCTCGGCAAAGTGTTATTTGCCATGGCAATTGCCCAGGCAAGGGGCAGTACGTACCGCAACCCACCATTTGAGCATGCACATTTGTGGCTACGAGCACGTGTGTCGCCCAGAGAGTGATCGACGGTACAGGCGGGAGAGAGAGCGTGATATCCCCCATATCCTCCTGCATTGACAGAAATAAACTCATCTCTTCACATATTTGGATTGAATGGAGTCGGATTTGGACTTTGAGTGTGACTCCCGGAGAGGTGGAGTTGTCATTGCAACTAGCTATCAACCGAGCACGTCGGTATATTAAGAAGGCACGAGTCAGCAGGGAAGGGCGATAGGGGGGATTCGCTGGTGAGCTGGCCGAGGCATTTCCGTGTCATTCCCGTGCTGGGCCATCACGACCAGCTAATGTATGACGTCCATCGAAAAAACGCAAGATACAGAAATGGAAGTTCATCCCGGTCTGCCTACAGTCTCCACTGACTGCCACCGTTCCAACAAAAGGAGTCCTAGACTCCCTCTGTAAGCTAGGTCTGGGCTCCAAGTGGTTTTGTGGTGAAGACAAGCTGGCTCTGGGTATCGAGGTCTCCTCCCAGGAGTTCCACTTTGTTGTGGTGTGTCTTTTTCCACCACTAAGGAATATTCCCTATGAAGTATGTAAGGCGACTGGACCAGGACATAGCGTCCTCATTCCACTCGCAATTGATGACGAGAGCCTGCATCCTCGCAAAGGGCTACCTTTTCGACCTGTATTTTCTGTGAGTCGGTTGAAGGAGGCAATTGGGCGAAAAGGCAAGCTGTACATTAGGCCCATGGAGGAAATCACTTTTGACAACTGCAGGAGGCTATCTGATCATGAGGTAAAGTGTGATGTCAACAGAATCTAAGCTGTTGTAACATGCTTCGTTGCTGCAGGCATACACACCAGCCACCAGAATTAAGTGTATTTATTGCTCAGAATTGATGATGTTGGAGGATATGGCAATCCACAAAGTTTTGTGCTCAAAATGTGAGTAGATTTGTTTGTGGTTTTGACACAAATCAGTGTTAATGTCTCTCGCATAGCTTCAGATACTGAGACCTCAGATGAACCTGCTACTTGGTCCGTACCAGCTATATATATGGATGATGTGCCGAGTACCTCTGGGCTGGGTGTTGTTGGCTTGACGAAGGAAGCCGTCAGCCTGCTGGCGACGGAGACAGTGTATGATGCTCTGACAGTGGATGATACAGACCTGACCATTGATGATGCTGACAAGACATCTGAACGAAACAGCTGAAGAGGTTAGTTCTTTTTAACCCAGAAGGTGTTTGATTGCCTGTTAGGGTCTGGTGCTAGGCTTACAATAATAAGTCCGTTACAAGTCCAAAACTAGTGTAGTACATTCAGATATCTTCCTTATGTACAAACAGATATCGTTCTTAGTGTACCAGCAGAATGAGGAGTATGAAGCGAGTCTCAGACTAGATCGGGCAAAGGTATATATAATTTTTCCTGTTCCTAGCAATAGGAAAGTTCTTGTCACAATAGGAGAGGCAGCGTTTCCTACGAAGTCAGCTTGAACATGAACAGGATGTTGAGAGGAGGATGCATGACAGAGAAGAGAGGGAGGAACAGGACAGACTTGCCCACCGTGAACTCAGGATTGAGAATGTAAGGAGATGCAGAGGCACTTCACACGCTTCATATGTCTGTTGTGTTTCTTCTTTAGTGGTACAGGCAAATACGCCTGGATTTATTCTCGCGTGTGACAGCTGAGCCCCCTGAAGGACTCCAAGGCATTGTACATCTCAGGAATAAGCTTCCTGATGGGACTAGATTGTCAAGACGCTTCTATGGAAATCAACTAATGGAGGTTAGATGTGCTATATTTGGTGTTGCTGGTGTTATGTTATGTTTAACACAGGAGCTCCATGCTTTTGTTGGGGCCCAAAACCCTGTGAACCCACGACACTTTCGCTTACTTGCAAGCGATACAGCCACGACTACTGGAAAGAACAGGGACATTGACTGCATCTGGCTTGGGCGGATTTGTTTTGATTATAGCAGAAAATGTTAAGGTGTGTGCAGATTCTTGCATACCTCTTTTGAAATCAAATATCTATACACAGACAGCAGCTGAGGATGACGAAGACCCAAACAATGAACACCACGATACGGAGGCTGAAGTGACAGAGCAGGTTGAGGTGGTGGATTTGACATTTAGTCCCAAAAGAAATGAGTAGGTCCATTAGACACTAATTTATGTTCATATCTTGTTCCTGTGTCAAGGGCTCTGAGGAAGGCTGTAGCCTATCTAGGGAACCAGATTGCGCATACAATACCACTTTTTGTATGATGACTGAGAGTAAGATCAAAGGAATTCCAACTAGTTCAAACAATGTACACTCTGTAGTGAGCGCTTCCTGCTGAGTGTACTGGTAGTTAAGAGGCCATACAATTTCCCCATACTTTAGCTGAATGTCAACTCATTTGCCTAAACTACAGTGGGTATATGGTAGTTATAGGATAGTAGGAAATTGGCAGGACAGGGTCTGAAAACGATGGCAACATCTAGATTGACATTGTTGTTCTTCTTCAAGAATAGGTAACCTGAAACAACTGGAGGAAGAAAGGCAAGCAGTTTGGGAGACAACTCCATCGAGCATTTCATTGTTGGGCGCCTATCCATTGTCGATGATCTTCTCCAAATTTACCGAGAACGACCGCAATTATGTAATCATGAAATTCGAGTTTCGTTTCGTAGTGAGCGTGGTCTCGATGCAGGTGGTCTAACTCGCGAGTTGTTCCCCTTGTTTTGGAGTTCATTAGAAAGCAATTTTTTGATGGAAATATAGAGAAGGTGCCAATGGTGACACCACGCCCAGATATGGACTATGTTTTCCTTGGTAAAATCTTATCACATGGTTTCGTGTTAACGGGGTTCTTCCCGCTATACATATTGGCCGTCTGTGCTTCTTACCTGCTGTCTGGAGTTAGCGATGTATCCGATGATGCCCTACTTCATTCTTTTTTCAATTTTCTTGACCCTAATGAAGCTAAAGCTTTGCAGACATGCCTCTCAGAAAAGAAGATATTGGAAGAGGAGCAAGATACTGTTTATCCCTATTCGCACGGATAAATTCTACCGCTGTTCCAACCTCAACAAACTTGGAACAACTCACAAAAAATGTTGCCTAGTATAGTCTGTTCTGTCAACCAAATTTTGCGTTAGACAGGATGCGTACTGGAATGCTAGCATGCCATCCTAGCCTCTGGTAAAGATGCAACCCACGGTAGCAAGCAGCCTCTTCACTGCTCTTATGCCAAATCCGACACAAGTGTGGGGGGTGGTCATAGAGCCAGAGTTCAGTAGTCCGGTCGAGGCCAGGGTATTCGACTATTTTCGTTGTTTTATCTATACGTTGCCAGTGGAAATGTCATGTAAACTGCTTAGGTTTATGACTGGAAAACCTCAGTGCAGTGTTAACTCGATTAAAGTAACCTTTTGTCTTCCTGTATCGGATTTCGAACGAAGACCGATAGCATCAACATGTGGATCGACCCTCTGTCTTCCAACAAGTTACGAATCTTTTTCTTCCTTTTCGAAGGAGTTTAATCAGATTTTGCAAAATTCACACGTGGTCTTTCGACCCTCTGTAGACTATTTGAGTCACCAACATGTATTCATTTGGTTCATCACTATAAACGCTGTCATTGTCAGTGCATTATCATTACAAAAAATGAGGGCTGGGGAAAGGACCAGGGCATTAGACCACAAGCAGTAATAGAAGGTTCAGGAAAATTAATAATAGCATTATGTGAACGGGTGTTCGGTTGTCAGTATACACATGTTAGTAATTGTAATTGTAGTGCAAATCAA